CGGGAAAATTTTTTTTTTTTTCCCCCCCCCCCCCCCCCCCCCCGACTTTGCAGGGACAGCACCATCTCACTCGCAACACTTTCTCTACGACCATGAACAATACGAAAACCGAGTGACCCCCCGTCCCGTCCCATGTCGCCCCATGTCGTCGCCAACGCCTACGTGTTGTGAAACAGACGGCCAAGCTGAAGTGGCTGCAGAACTGCGTCCTCGCCATCGACCCCACGGAGGCCACCATCCGGGCTCACCTGCCCGTTGTCCTCCGGCAGCTCAAGGGAGCTCTCACCACCTCCACCCCCATCATCTCCCAGCGCGGGGGAACCGACGTTTCGGTAGTGCGTCTCACCACACACGTTGTCAACAGCCTGGCGTCCATGTTGCCGCCCGCTGGGTCAGAAGCGGTTGCCTTGTAATGAGTGCGCTTGTGTGCGGGGGCTTTCTACGTTGTTTCAGGAGGAAGGAGGGAACGCGTTTGTGTTTTTGCTTGGGGGCTCTTGTAATTGGTAGGGACCGTGGTTGATTTTTGGGGGGCGGGTGTCTGTGTTGTGTCTTAGACGCGCTTGCTTGGGGTCGCGGTTTAGGTGCGTGTTTCGCCTTTCTTTGATGGCGTTTGGCGTGGAAAGGCATGATAGTTTGCTTTGCGATGAGTCTGTCCGTAGTAAGCGTGGATCCTGTAGGTTGTTGGTACGGGCTGACGCAAGAGGTCGGCTGTTTTTTTCAGAACATTTTTGGTTGTTGTAATTTCGACGAAGGGTCGTGTGGATCATGATGGTTTGGACATGGCAAGGAATTTCTCGCAGGAGTGTGTCGAAGTAGAATGCGCCAACTACATGGTATTCAAGAGCCCACGTTTTTTTTCGCAGTGATCTGTAGGTGGAATTTTGCATGGTACGACAGGGGAGGGGTTTCTTCTTTCGGGCTATGTAGCGAAAGGTCTTCCAGTGTCAGACCCCAGTCCTTTTCCCTCTGTTCTTCCTTCGTTGACGTTTAGTTCAGACCAGGCGAGGGTGTGATGGTGCGATGGTATCGGTGCACGTAAGAGAGTGATGAACTTTGCTTTTTGTATACACTTTGACGTGGGCGGCTGCGTTAGAAAAATGGAGTGATGCTGCCGTCAACCACAACTCAGTTTGTCACCCACGGCGAATCCAGATTTCGAATTTCGCCGAAAGGCGACGTCATGACCGTGGATGGCGTCATCGGTCGACCATGGAATTTTGGACCACAGGGATATCTCCGGCCACAAAAGTTGGCCAATCAGAAAGCTGCGGCCACCTTTTCTCTCTCTGTCTCTTGGCGTGTCTGGTGTGGTTCCTGCCTTAAGTGTTGTCGAACGGTATGTCTTACTTCAAATAGAATGGCTTGCGGAGAGGAAGTACTTTGAGGTTTGTTGGCTAGTTGTTGGTTGCCTACACAACAAGAGAGGGGCGGCAGTGCGTTGGGTCTTGTGTAGTCTGCCGGAATAGTCAAACCCACAGCCAGCCGTCGGTGCGAAACCTTTACCTGTGATTGAGCGGCACGTTCGTGATAGAATGCTGGTACGTGACCTCCTGCGTATTTGGATACGCCTATGGCTGTGTGTTTGGACGTGTGCGCGGTTCCACATTTAGTTTCGGGAGTGGGGCGACTGGCTTTATCATGGCGGCTAGACAAAAAGCTATTTTGGACGATGGACGTATCAGGTAGGGGAACACAGCCAGCCGTAGCTGTGCTACGTTAGATCCAGGCACTCTGTTGGTAGATGCCATACGACCCACCGCACTAATAGTGCTGCCTCCTCTCTCTCTCCCCCCCCCCCCCTGTTCCCTGTGCAACCAACACATGTTCGATCTAAAATAAACTGACTGCTGTTGTTTGGCCACTGCAACTTGATGAAATGAACAATCCCATCTATTGGGTGAAAATAAAAGCGCATCAACATTCTACACTAACTGCTCATCTCGCCGGTGTGTGATGAAAGGCCATTGATTGGTTGTTGTCTGCTTAATATCTGATTTTCGGCGATCTTTTTCTCCGTATAAAAACAAAAACAGCAGTTCGCAGCCAGTGAAATTGTTTTTTTAGCTAACAACGTGAAAGAGAGAAAGAAGACAGACCACTACCAAACCCGCGCGAATTTTCCGTGGAGGAGGTGGAGTCGTCAGGAATACTACCGGCTCCCCCCGCCCCGAAAATGTCCCAAATAAGAAGAAACGACTCTCTTGGGTATGTATGCATACGAGTACAGAAGAAGCATAAATTTTCTAAAAAAGCATCGGGGGGGTCCGTGGGAACCCTGTCATTCTCAGGCACTACAATAAGCGCGAGCTACATGTAGGGTCCTCTCATGCGAACCCCCACCACGCTCTAGCTAGCACATCAAGAGAACACCTATGACCCGGGGGTTAAAGTATGCGTGAAACGTCGTCCGTACAGCAGTAAGTAGCACATATAAATGATGTCCCCCCCCAAAAAAAACGCGGTGCTGCTCTAAGCCGATGATGTTTTTCCCAGCCCTACCAGGGGGGGGGGGGGGGGGGGGCCCCCAAACCAGGGGAAAAAAAAAAAAGGGGGGGGGGAGACGGTCCTCTTGGGAACCCTTTTGGGACTTTTAAAAAAATCCCTCCAAAAAACAACCCGGGGAAAAACCGGGGGGGGGGAAAAAACCCATTTGGGTAAAGGGTTTGTTCCAAAAACAAAAGGGGGAAAGTTTAAGCCCCCCTTTCCCCCCCCTTTTTGCCCCATTTTGGCCAAAAGGTTTAATGAAACCCCCCCCCCCCCATTTTTCCCCCAAAATTCTTTACCCCCCCTTCCAAAGGAGTTCCCACCCCCCCCCCCCCGAAAAAAAGGGGAATGGAGTATTAAAAATTTTTTTCGGGGGGGGGAAAAGGGGGGGGGGGTT